TACGTCTAATCATAAAATTCTAGATACTAGCAGTTTGAACAGACGTGAAGGCATGATGTTAGCTGAAGCATAGGAAAACCTTAGTAACAAATAAATAAAAATGGATATGTATCACTAATTATTAATGATTGGTCAAAATTCTCGACTGTCCATATCTTCTTATGGAGACGTTAAGAAATGTTTTACAACTGTTTACCCACACACGCATGCACACTCTGTTTAAAGTGTTTAACAAAGGTAGACCAATATTTGTAAGTCCGAGGTCACATTTTGATCAGAGCTCATAAAATTTTGTTTATTATACTTGTTGAATGACTCATGATTGAACAAAGATTTAAAAACAAGTGATGTTCCTTTTATATATAAACCTCTGTTATGTTAATTTCGATTAATTTCCCTGAAGAAGTTCGGACCAGATTGCCGAACGAAAAGTTGGAATTACTCATTTCAATATCACTGAGATTTTACAAATATAATTTTTTACAAAAATCAATAGACTTCAATCTTCGCCTACCCTGGACTACTTGACCTATCTAAATATGATTGGTCATCATTATGTACTTTTGCTTTTTATTCAACTGAATAATTGTCATGATCTTTATTTTATTATTGTTAACCGTGTTAGTTGTAAAGCGGTTGTAAAGAAACTACGAAATGATATCATCTCGCGAAATTTGTCTTCTTAATGCCTTATTCAAATTTATCAAAGGGACTAATTGTTTTAATTCTAGAACTGAGTTACTTATTTATAAGATAAATCTGAAATTCCTGTACACAATTGCCTGTCCTCTTAGTTATGGATACACAGACACATCTAATGGAAATCGTCACCACTTCTTTAACGTTTTTAATGGATGATAGAAAGATGTCATTTTGTACTTACTGTTATGATGAGGCTTAAAAGACGTCCTCTATTTACAGTTGTGCTTGATCAGGCAGATAGCAGCAGACAGCTTCGTTTTTGATATCGTTGTGTTCCATGATCTGGGTGGGGATTTCATTAGGAAGCTTTCGTTGTCATTCTAGACAACATCATCAAAGCAAGCTTTAATATGAAGTGAACATATTTGGGCCAAGTTAAACTTTAAGCACCACTTACTACCAGTGGAGTGTGACCGCACCAATGACCTTTAAACGCTCAGTGAGCAAGTAGTGAAACCTGGCAGATAATGTTGTCATCATCAATAAAATATGCTCATCGAAGTGTTATGCTATTAAATGGGATATCTGGCAAGTTTCAGCTTAGGTTTGGGAAAGATTAAGTTTCGCTTTAAGCCAAGGACAAGTTAGGGTTAGGTTAACCTAATAAAGGCGAAATTAGGGTTGGTTCGAGTTAGATTAAAATTAGTTTAGGGATATTTTCACGTTAGGGTTAGGCTCAGGAAAGATTAGGGTTATTGTTAGGGTTAGAAGACCTAAATAATTACATGCATAGAATGTGGTTAGATTACTCTGTTGATATATAAGAATAGTACTTGTGCACTGTGGTAGAATATAATTCCATTGTGGGTAACATTTATTTTGATAAAGTCTCACAGTGTTATACAGTCATACTTACTGATGACGTTTCGAGCACAATTTATTGCTCAGGAAATGGATTGGAATTATACTCTGTTGATACTCCAACCTAAAACTGAGAGCTATTTTTATCACATGTGAGAGCAAGGTACCCTCTGTAACACTTTTCTACAGTTTTTATGCATTATTTCATAAATATATGTATTCCATACACAAAAATGCCTCCTTCACGTAATTGGTGCGTTCGAAGTCATCCGCTGATTGGTAGTTAGTGGTGCTTAAAGTTTAACTTTGCCCTTATCTGAATTCACCATGAATGATTTAACTGTATCTCCTGTCAACCTTCATCATGAGTGGTTGTCAATTTGCATCAGTATATATCGTTTTTAATGACTTGAAATTTGAATTATGCTGTCAAGTAGTTTATTTCTTATTGGTTGATAGAAATGATCCATAATAACGTCTGTTAGATACTGATTCATCTAATTAACAGGCTTCCAGGAGTTCCCTGGCATTTGTTATGTTTCCACTACTGAAAATCTCTATATTTCACCGGTCAAATTGGTTTCCTTGAGTGGCCTACATGCATCAGTATGCAACAATAAACGTCCTCTCTTTTGATTGCTAGCTAGTTGAAGAGAACGCTCACTTTGACCAACACATTGGTTATCACAGTTCAAGCAATTTCCTTTGTAGATGGTATTGTTCGGTCTTATTGTCTTCAGGGTACTGAATGAAGCGACTGTCTTGGTCTGTGTGCTATAACTATTTCGATTAGTTTCAATATTCTAAGCGTTATCTCAGAAACAGGCTTTACTTACAGTAGAATGAATTTTCTTGTGAGTTTTGAGGATAATTTCTTATTGGTAATTTGATTCAAGCGCAAACATTTTTGATGAAACCATAAGGG